AGTTTTTGGTTGGGGTTTTCCAGGATGTGCAGGAAATGAGAAGATGAATGTGAGGGACACACCCTAAAGCACCTCCCGTGCTGGGACAGCGGCTGCGGGGACAGAACTGCCAGGTGACCCCAAAGCTGACCCCAAAGGCCACCCCAGAGCCCTCGGGGACCCTCCTGGGGACCCTCCTGGGGACCCTGCAGAAGCTGGGAAGTGATTCCAGCTCCCAGGGAAAGGGACACAGCAGGAGCTGAGGGAGTTTCCAGGAGCTCCCCAAGGGCTTCGGGAAAAACCCCAGCAGCCAAAAAGGGGAATTTTGGTGGGAAAGAGCGGAAGGAATTTGCTGTGACTCAGGGAAGGAGCTCGGCAGAAGGGAGAGGAGTGAACGCTCCTGCTCTGGGAAACGAGTCCAGATGGAGGGAGGGAGGCAGGCAGGGAAAAAAGAGATTTTATAGGGGAAAAAAGAGATTTTATAGGGGAAGGAAGAGATTTTATAGGGGAAAAAAGAGATTTTATAGGGGAAGGAAGAGATTTTATAGGGGAAAAAAGAGATTTTATAGGGGAAAGAAGAGATTTTATAGGGGAAAAAAGAGATTTTATAGGGGAAAGAAAAGATTTTATAGGGGAAAAAAGAGATTTTATAGGGGAAAAAAAAGATTTTATAGGGGAAGGAAGAGATTTTATAGGGGAAAAAAGAGATTTTATAGGGGAAAAAAGAGATTTTATAGGGGAAAAAAGAGATTTTATAGGGGAAAGAAGAGATTTTATAGGGGAAAAAAGAGATTTTATAGGGGAAAGAAAGAGATTTTATAGGGGAAAAAAGAGATTTTATAGGGGAAGGAAGAGATTTTATAGGGGAAAAAAGAGATTTTATAGGGGAAAGGAAGAGATTTTATAAGGGAAGGAAGAGATTTTCCAGAGGAAGGAAGAGATTTTCCAGAGGAAAGATTTTCTAGGAGAAGAAAGAGATTTTCTAGGGAAAATAAGAGATTTTCCAGGAGAAGAAAGAGATTTTCCAGGAAAGAGAAGATTTTCCAGGGGAAGAGGAGATTTTCTAGGGAAAGGAAAGGATTTTCCAGGGAAAAGAAGAGATTTTCTAGGGAAAATAAAAGATTTTCCAGAGGAAAGAAGAGATTTTCTAGGGGAAGGAAGAGATTTTCCAGGAAAAATAAGAGATTTTCTAGGGAAGAGATTTTCCAGGGGCAAAGGAAAGAAGAGAAAAGGAAAAAATAAAAAGGAAAAAATAAAAAGGAAGAAATAAAAAGGAAAAAATAAAAAGGAAAAAATAATTGTCCTGGCTGCCCACAATGTCCTGGGGGGTTTTAATGTTTTAATTAAAAAATGTTAATTAAATTTAATGTTAATTATGGCCCAATGATGGATTTAAGGGCTGAGTGAGGTTTATAAAATAATATAAAATTGTATATATTTCTATATTATATAATTTATAATACTGTAACTAAATTGTAATTTAGAATTTATAATCATGTATATTTTATATTTATATATTATACATATTATAAAATAATAGATATTATAATGATATATATTTCTATATTTTATAATTTATAATATTTCAGCTAAATTGTAATTCAGAATTTG